AAAAACAACATGTAAAGAATGTTCCCTATTTGAAAATATAACAATATGAATATATTTACATAGGAAATTTCTGGAAGGCTCTAACCTGAGATATTAGGGTGGTTATTACATTTACATTTAATTTGTCTATTAATTTGTCATTTTTTGTCTTAATTTTTGTTTATAATAAGTAGTAATTATTTAAGGTAATAATATGTTACAGAAAGAGAAAAGGGCTAACTATTCTGTCAGCAGCTATTAGCAGCTATAGATGTTATTGAATAAAAGGAAGAAATGGTTAAAAAAAAAGTAGGTGCCACACCCAATGTGGGATTCAAACTCATGACCCAGAGACCAAGAGTCACATGCTCTGCAACCAGGCACCCCAAATCTTTCTGAGACCTTTACAAAAAGTTTTACAGTCACACTCTTGGTTGTGACTACACCATGAAAACATGACAGTGCACTTGACTTGATCTCTGCCTTGAAACTCATTTCTTCAACATGTTTTTCACTTGGAGAGTCTGAAAATAAGAAACGTTGTAATGTTTTAACCCATAAAGTCCCAGATACTTAATATTTTCTTACTGTGGTAAAGCATCATAAAATTCACTCTCCCCCAAATTTCTGAGTATACAGTACAATACTGTGAACCCCATGCACGTTGTTGTGCAACACATCCCAAGAACCCCCAGCTCATGTTGCGTGACTAAACCTCTGTACACTCATTAAAGAGCGACTCCCTACTTCCCTCTCCCCCCGGCTCCTGGCAACGACCATCCTATTTTCTGTTCCAATGAGTTTGACTACTTTAGCTCATATAAATGGAATCATGCAGTATCTGTCCTTTCATGACTGACCTTTTTCACTTAGCGTAATGTTCTCAAAGTTCCTCCATTTTGTAGCACATGACAAACAAAGTTCCTCCATTTTGTAGCACATGACAAAATTTCTTTTCTTTTTAAGGCAATAATTTTCCATTGTGTATAAATACCGTATTTTCTATATCCATTCATCCATCAATGGGCATTTAGATTGCTTCCACCTTTTGGCTACCGTGAATCATGCTACAGTGGACATGGGGGGTACAAATATCTCTTCAAGATCCTATTTTCAGTTCTTTAGGATATATACCCAGAAGTGGGGTTGCTAAATCATATGGTAGTTTTATTTTTAATTTTGCTCAATCCTTAATATTTCACAATTCTTTTTTTTTAATAGACTTTTTTTTTTTTTTAGAGAGAGAGAGCACGAGTTGGGGAGAGGGGCAGAGGGGGAGAGAGAGAGAGAGAAAAAGAGAGAGAGAGAGAGAGAGAGAGAGAGAGAGAGAGAAAGAGAGAGAGAGAGAATCTTAAGCAGACTCCACGCACAGAGCCCGATCCCACAACCCTGGGATCATAACCTGAGCCAAAATCAAGAGTCAGACACTCAACCAGCTGAGGCATCCAGGCACCCCTCACAATTCCTTCTTTTGCTTATCTCTGTCCATACCTTGTGATAAGCAGCTTAAAGAAACTAGGTAACGCTTTTGACATCTGACCAGAAATCTGCTTAGCTGGATCTATCAGTTCATTAGGTACTCCATTTAATTTCCACGTTACTACAGGTAGCAACACTGCTAAACTTTCCACCACTACATAACAAAAGTCTCTTTTCATCCAGCTTCCAACAATATTTTCTTCACTTTCCTTTAATCCTTCACCTGGAGGGCCATCAGGATTCAGCGACCGGTATCTTCAAGGCCCTACTATCTTCATCCCACTGCCTGCTCCCAAAGCCACTACATGTTTTGTTATAGCAGCACCCCATTTTCAATTAGCAAAATCTGCCCCAGTTACATATCCTGCATAATGAACACCCCACTCTTTTTTTTAATTTATTAATATTTTATTTTTTAATTTAAATCCAAGTTAGTTAACATATATTCTTAATGGCCTAAAAAAACAATTATTGTATTATCATTTCTAATGGTTGGGGACATGTTGAATGACCTCAGGGGTTCTTGCTTAAGATCTCTCGTATAGTCAGACAGGGACTGATAGCATCTCAAAGACTTCCTCATTCACATTTCTGGTGGTTGATGTTGGCTGTCATCTGGCCAGCACCTGGGCTATTAGTTGGAACACTTACATGTGGCCTCTTTGTGTGGCTTGGGGTTCCTTACTTGTGGCACTGAAATTTAAGGGTACACTTCCTAAACAGAAAGAGCCAGATTGGAGTTGTTGGTCTTTTATGACTTAACTTTGGAGGCTTATTTCTGAGGTCATCACAAAGAATCACCACATTCAAGGATAAAAGACTTTCCACCAATTAATTGGGTGAGATGAAGTATCTGGAAGAGCATGTACGTCTTTTGTTGTTGTTGTTGTTATTGTTGGAAAAGACATAAATCTTCCTTAGGCCCCATTTTATGAGATGGTGACTTAGTTCTCAAGTTCTAAGCCATTACTAGCCACCTCTCTTCAATTACAAGTAGGCCGTATGGTCACAGTTATCTCCAGGATCAGTAGAGGATAGGATTCTCTAACATTCCTGGAGGGTGGGCTAACGGGGATATCATGATCAGTCTTCCTAAATGAAGTTTATGAGGCAAAGTTTTTGTCAGAAAGATCAGAGCTTGGCAAACTATTACTTGAGGGCCAAACCCAGACCACCATATGTTTTTGTAAATAAAGTTTCATTGGAACACAGTCACACCCACTCACATTGTTGCCTACAATAGTAAAGTTGCGTACTTACAATAGAGACCACAGGGCTCTCGGAGCCTATAGTATATTCTCTATGGCTCTTTACAGAAAAAGTTTGCTGACCTCTGAGGCAGATTACTCATTTGTCATCATAGGAGCAGGTGGTGGATGTCCTTTCCCTGCGTCAGGATCTCAGGATCATAAAGATTTTCCCAGTCTCTTTCACTCTCATCCCTTTGATTAAGGTGCAGGTGGGGAGGGGCAGATGGGATTCCCTACCACTAAGAGGTGGGAGGACGGTGGACATCTTGGTCACCAACTTCATTGATGAAGCCAAACAAACCATGAATCAGAGGTAGATGTTTATATAGATCTTTCTTAAGAAGACCTCAGTGTAGGTGGAGTCCCATTCACAGTCTCCAAATCACTTCTTATACTGTTTAACTAAGAGTGGATGAGAGTCTGTGAAACAGGCTTTGATGAGGATGGTGTAGGCTGACACAGGAGTGAGTCAAAAAGAATCGACTCAGAAGACTTCTCTATGAAGGGATTAGAGGATCAGGTCTTCCTGATCATTGCTTTTAGAAGCTCAGTGATTTTTTTGGTTTTCTTCCTATCTTAGGCCAACTACTTTTTTCTTCCTCCAGAAAGGGCTCCTTCCATAGCATCAACAGGGAATCAGTTGTCATGGGCTCTCTCTTAATGATAGCAAATTGCTATTCATGGACTCTTTGTTTTCTGAAATCACCCTCAATGTCTTGAATTCTTCTGCCTGTAAATTTTTGTCTCCTCTACATTGGCCATTTCTTTTTTAGTCCTTATAGTCTTCCTGAGTCCATTTCTTTTAAAGAATGTATATCTGCTCAGGGAGTTCCTTAAGAGATTCTATTTTCAGCTAGAGGGCTTTGTACTTATTTTCCAGTTGTGCTTTGGTTAACTGCAGAGATCAAAAGTCAAGTCACAACTCTTTGTTGTTGTTCTCCCTGCTCACACCCTATTACTCCTTTTTTTTTTTCCTATTACTCCTTTTGGGTTATGATTTCAATTGTGATTTGAATCTATCATTTTCAACTAATATTCGTATAATTTCCGCACGCAGGACATACATCATCTTTTTTTTTTTTTTCTGATCTTTTAGCACCGCATTCCAATGATTTACCAGTTGTCAATGAATTTCCATCTTTCATTTTCTCTTTCATTATATCATGTTTGCTGCCTCATTCAGGATGAAGACCTGGCTGTTTCAAGTGCACAATGCAATGATTAAAATGTTTGGTTTCATTTTGCTTGTGAACAAGAGTTCTTCTGTGTCTGAGACTTCTGAATTCATTTAGTTAGTCCTCTCAGTAAGTTCTGCATTTCAGTCTGCTACTTCCTCCTATATGCTCCTTTTGAATCTTGCATTTTCTTCTTCCATAGGAAAGAGGACTTTAAACTTCACATTCCCTTTAATGTCTTCATTAGGGATATTTTTATATTTTTGAAAAGTTTGTGTAATTCCTTCTAACATCTATATGGATTTCTGTCTTTTCAATATTTTATCCCATTTCTTTACACAATATTCTTTCTTGGTTTCAAGATGACAAGCATATATTTCAACATGTTTTGGCCATCTTCTTCAAGCTCATGGATTATATCTTTAATCCCAGCCCCTCCATCATAGATATCTGTATTTTTGTTTATTGGTTTCTTTAAATATTTACTCATAATATTCCATCTTTTTAAAAAAATTTGTTTGCCCTCCAGAATTTTAATCAAACCCAAGATCTTGACTTTTCAATATTCTGGAGTTTCAAATTTTCTTCACCACATCCAGTATGAATTTCTTTAAAGAACTGAAGTTCTTGTCCAAGTTATTTCCCACATTATTGGGTAGACATTCCTCCTAGACCAAAGTTAACTTTGGCTTAATGGTATGTACATGACTTTAATTAGGAGAAACGTTGAGAAAATATACTTCTTGAATTATCATATAGTCCATTTGTCAACATAGGATGTCTTTATTATAAGCGATGATTTCATGGGATTACTTTTTCTTTATGCTATAGAGGCAGATAATCAGGTTATATTTAAGTTCCTTTGAGTTGATTGATTTTCTCTCTCTATGAATTTCTCCAAGTCCTCATGACATACTTAGCAGAATTCTATGTTAGGCTTCTTAGTAAGGCTGAAAATTTTTATTTCCATGGAGCTATTTTTTACTCTAGCAAAATTCCTATATACTTAATAAATCTATTCTCCCTCTCTCTCTCTCTCTCTCTCTCGCTCTCTCGCTCTCTCTGTCTCTCTCCCTTATTCCCTCTCCCTCTCTGTCTCCTTCTCCTCCTCTTCCAGGCAGGGAAAAAAGTGAAGGGAATCCCAGGCAGAAGAAAGCATGTAACCAGACACAGGCATGAAGAAACTGCACTTATTTGTAGAAGAACTCCCATGAGGATAATAGGAGAGGTGACAGGAGCTGAGGTTGGAGAATCAGCGTGCAGCAAACGTGGGGAGTGTCCAATATGGTCCAACTTTAAGGAGTCTGACTTACGTTGCTGAATGGACAACATCTAAGTTTGTTTCCTTGTTTTTACACAGGAGCGGTATGTAATTTCCATGTTGAGAAAGATAATTCTGAACCAGTTGTTTTGGAAGGTGGATTGATGGTGTGGGAGACAGGTATTGGAAGGAGAGAGACAGTCAGAGATGGTGACAATAATTTAGGGAGAACTGGGGAAGGTCAGTTGTGTTCCAGCCCAAGCAGCATCTTTGAAACACTGAAGGGGAATGCTCCAGTGATCCACATGTGAGAGGCCCAACCTAGAGTGGCAATGAGTGGGTGGAAAAAGTCCCTGGAAAGAACTGGATGTAGACCCAATTCTTGGTAGCCTGACTAGGGCCTGACTGTTCTTCAAGACACTCTCCTGACAGAATTAGATCTTTCTGACTGTCCTGACCCCTGTTACCAGCTGTTGCTACTCTCGTACATTCTGGTTCATGAGCCATGGTTACATGCATGCTCCCCTTGTGGATTAACCAGAGCTGACTACAAATGTCTTCCCAATTTCTGTCTGTGCAGCCCCTACACTGTACCAGGTAAAGAAGTGGTGATGTTGACACAGGAAGACTGACTTGAGAGTCCTTTCATTTATATGATTGGTAGGGCTTACTTGACACTGAAACAGATGTAGAGATAAACCAGAAGAAGCCAATGGTGGCTCTAACATGTCCTTCTCAGACAACTGCATGATTAGCAAAGACTTGAAAGAGGAGGCTGTTGGGGGTGGGGGGGAGGAATGAGCCTTTTTAAAACAGATTTTATTTTTTAAAGATTTTTTTTAAAGTAATCTCTATACCCAATGTGGGGCTCAAACTCACAACCCCAAGATCAAGAATGGCATGCTCTACCAACTGAGCCAGCCAGGCACCTCAAGATTTTAAGTAATCTCTATACCCAGCACAGGGCTTGAACCCACAACCCTGAGATTAAGAGCTGTTACACTCTGTGACTGAGCTAGCCAGGCACCCCAAAAATGAGCCTTCTTAACCTTTTGGAGTTTGACATGCCTGCTGGAAGTACTGATATTGTTTTCTCCACTTGAAACCCTCTATCTGGAGCCAAATACCCAAATGTCATGTCAGACAATATGTAAAAGCCTAGCCAGAAGCTTCCTGTCTAAAACACTGACAGAAGGTGCTGTGCCCTCTGTTTTTCTGTTATGGGTTCTTCAGCATTTCAACCTTTTAGCTTTATACTCTAGCTCTTGGTATCTCCTTTGGCCTTCTTTGGCCAACCAGTTTGTACCCCCACCCCTAAGTTACAGACTGCCTTATCATCATCTGTCCCTAAAAATGCTGATAAATAATGCCTGCCCTGCTTGCTTCAAAGGAGTTGTAGGTAGACCTGAGTAGTTGAAGATTGCTTTAATTGTATGCTTTGCATCACAAATAACTTTTTTATTTTATTTTACTTTATTTTATTTTTTTTATTTTAGGAGGGGTGGGTGAAAGGGACAGAGGGAGACAGAGAATCTTTTTTTAGATGACTTTATGATTTTATTTATTATTTTGTAAATGTTTATTTATTTGTGAGAGAGAGAGCATGAGTTGGGGAGGGGCAGAGAGAGAGGGAGCCACAGAATCAGAAGCAGACTCTGAGCTGTCAGCACAGAACCTGATGCGGGGCTTGAACCCACAAACTGCCAGATCATGACCTGGCATCGAAGTCCGATACTGAACCGACTAAACTACCCAGGTGCCCCTAGATGACTTTATGATTTTATTATCCTTTTTTTTCACATATGTAAAGCCATGTTAAATGTATAGCAGAAAAAAAAAAACCATAGCAGGCTATATGTATCATTATTTTCATTATAGTGTTTCTGAGAAATACTAAGAATAAATTGAGAAAAGAATAAATGATAGTTGGAGTGTAAATAGGTTTTTGCTGTTTTAGAAATGTCCTTATTTATTTTAGAAAAAAATCTGTAACTAAGGGAATTATTTCTCTCTAACCTCTGTGGATATAATGCAACTCCATTATTCTAGTAATAAAAAAATAGAAGTCTGACATTATTGCAATTTCAAAAACAGATTGGGTTAATAATGAAATGAACATAAAACAATACTTTTTTGAAAAATATTATATTGATTGATATTTTGCTACTTAATGTAACTGTTTATCAATTATTTCTACTGACAATCTGGAAGACTCTGATGTTTCAGAATGTCATTGTTGATGTGATAAACTTCACTGGGTTTTTTAGAGTCATTCAGTTGTAACAAAAATATACATTTGGAGTACATAATCTTAGTTTGACACTTCTATGAATCTACTGACTCACTGTTCACTGAAACAATGTTTGATTTTCTGTACCAGTATTTAAATAAGAGGACTTCTAGGCTATGAACATTCAGCTCCTGTGTGTGTGTGTGTGTGTGTGTGTGTGTGTGCACGTGTGTGCATGCAATATTGGTTTTTAAATAAAGCCACGTCCTTCTCATTTTAAATTTCAACTCTTGATATTTATTTTTTATTGGATAAATGAAATTTTTTATTTTTATTTTTTCAGGAATAGAATTTAGTGATTCATCACTTACATATAACACCCAGTGCTCATCCCAGCAAGAGTCCTCCTTAATGCCCCTCACCCCTTTAGCCCATCCCTCCACCCAACATCCCACCAGCAACCCTTAGTTTTTCTCTGTATTTAAGAGACTCTTATGGTTTGTCTCCCTCTCTGTTTTTGTTATTTTTGCTTCCCTTCCCTTATGTTCATCTGTTTTGTATCTTAAATTCCACATATGGGTGAAATCATATGATATATGTCTTCCTCTGACTGACTTATTTCTAGTTCCATCCACTTTGTTGCAAATGGCAAGATTTCATTCTTTTTGATCACTGAGTAATACTCCATTGTATATATATATATATATACACACCACATCTTCTTTATCCATTCATCAGTCGATGGACATTTGGGCTCTTTCCATACTTTGGCTATTGTCAATAGGGCTGCCATAAACTTTGGGGTGCATGTGTCCCTTTGAATCAGTATTCCTGTATCTTTTGGATAAATACCTAGTAGTGCAATTGCTGGGTCGTAGGGTAGTTCTATTTTTGATTTTTGGCGGAACCTCCATACTGTTTTCCAGAGTGACTGCACCAGTTTGCATTCCTACCAGCAGTGCAAAAGGGTCCCTCTTGAGAGAAAGAGAATCTTAAGCAAGCTCCACACTCAGCTCGGAGCCCGACATGGGGCTTGATCTCATGACCCCAGAATCGTGATCTGAGCCAAAATCAAGAGTCAGACATTCAACTGACTGAGCCACCCAGGTGCCCCCATTTATCACTTTAATACAGGCTATTAAATAAGTAACCTATATGTTTTATGTGGTGTGATAAGCTCAAAAGCTACTAGAACTGGAAAGGAAAAAAAAAAAGAACTGGAAAGAAATTTTGAATTCTCAACTATTTGTATCAGACATATAGCAATGTATATTATTTAGCACCCACCACAGCAATATAGGATCCATTGTGTGTGTGTGTGTGTGTGTGTGTGTGTGTGTGTGTGTGTATGTATGGTTATGGGAATCCCATTTTTATATATTTCATACATATGCATACACACATAATTAAAGATTATTATACATTGCTATACTGGGATATATATATATATATACACATATATCTATATATATACATATATATACACATATGTCTATATATATACATATATATAATGTGTGTCTATGTACATATAGACACACAGAGATGTATGTGTACAGATAGCTGTCTGCTTTGTACACTGCCATATGCACAATACATATAGGATATATACATGCACAGGCATGCAGTATAGCAATGTATAATGACCTCCAATGTAGATGAAACACAAACGTCCTCACTTTGTCTTATAAACCGCAATAAGGTAATAACAAAAGATTAAGCGTTACACAGTGTGTAAGGCTCTTTAGCAAAGGGGCCATGATTAATTGTGAGGGAAATCTTAATCACCAGCCACAACCACAACCCCAGCTTCTTTGCGGTACACATGCAGCTACCCTCAGGAGCTGACTTGCACTTAAACGCTCTCCCTTGCCTCTACTGTCATCCTACAATTTCAAGGAAATTCAAAGGTCACTATTAGACATTCTTTTTATAAGGATTCCTTAGACTATTCCTATCAGAAAATACTTCCCCCCCATCTTAAAAAAAAAAAAATCCCTTGCTCCATTCCACTACCCCTTTCAATTACGGTCCTATTTGTCCTTTCTAGAATAAAGGTCCTATCCTCATTATCAGCAATTCTCTCCTTCTGTTCTCTCCCAAACCTACTACAATCAAGTGTGCACCCAATCCACTCTTAAACTGCTCATCTCAAGTCACCCATAGTCTCCACTTTTTCAGAGCCACTGGTCACTTCCCAGGGCTCATCTTACTCACCCTATTAGCAGCATTTGTCATAGTCAGTTACTTTCTCCTCTTTGAATCACTTACATTTCTTAGCTTTCAGGACACTGCTCTCTCCTGGTCCTCTTCCCATTTTTCTGCCTGCTCTTCCTCAGTCTTTTTTTTTTCTTTTCTCATATTCCTCCTCATTTCTCTGTAATCTATAAATGTTAGTTCCTCTACCACAGCCCTTGGTCCTCTTCTCTTTCCTATCTATACCCATTCACTTGGTGACCTTTGTTGAGTCTCATGATTTTATATATCATCTATATGCAGGTGACTCCCAACTTTATATCTCCAGCCTGGGCCTCTCCCTCAAATTCTATACCTGTCTATCCAACTGTCTGGTTGAATCTCCATTTAGATCAGTAACATCCGTTTCAAATTTTACAAGTCCAAAACTGAGTTCCTTCTTTCCTTTTTTTTAAAGTAATCTCTTCTCCCAATGAGGGGCTCAAACTCATGACCCTGAGATCAAGAGTCACATGCTCGACTGACTGAGTCAGCCAGGCACCCCTAAAACTCATTTCTTGATAGCTTCCCTTTCCAACAGCATCTCCATCAGTTCTCTCCATCTCAGTGAATGGCTACTCTATTCTACTATTGCTTGGTAAAAAATAAAAAATAAAAATGTTGATGTCATTTGACTTGGATTCATCTCCCTCCCTCTCCTACTCTGCAGCTGATCTGTTAGTAAATCCTGTCAGTCCTACCTTCAAAATAATGAGACCACTTCTCACCAATCCTACTGCTGCCACCATTGTCCAGGCCACCACAATCTCTTGTCTGGATGACTGCAAAAGCCTTGGAGATACCACAATGTAAGGAAGAGAGAAAGTTAAATTAAGGATCTTGAAAAATAGGTTGTACAAGAACTTTTGCCCTCCACACTACCACAAATTCATGAAAAAAACCCCAAAACCCCAAAAACCTGTACTTTCATCTTGGCTGAACTCCATCTTCCAGGAATAGCAAAATATTAAACCAACTCTATACAAAGCAACTATAAAAGCACAAATACAAACAAAAAAAATACTTTTAGCTGATGAAAATTCTCCCCTCCCCCCAAAACCAACCACAAAGTAG